ATCAAGCTAAGGTGAGTAGTCCTCTTAATCTCCAGAGATCTCCACCGGTCCCCGCCATCAATCCCGCCATTCGTCTTAATTTCGAGGCTGAGAGGGGGGAAAAAAACATTGGATATTCCGCTAATGGTCGAATCGTAAATCAGCATTAAGGGGTGGGCGAACTTCTGCGGGCAACAGGTGGCGAATGGTGACCGATGGAGATCCGTTGATTTTTCTCGTTTCTCAGTGTTTTTCATCGTGCGACGCCAACGAGTCGGAAAAACGATTCCATCGATCGCGCGCCCAACGTTCCAAATGGCTAGGTTTTACGTTGGAAACGAATCGAGAGGTTGGAGGATGGGAAAGATCGAACGCAATATTTCTCTCGCAACTGATCGTTCGCGTTCCATTAACGGGAATTTTTAAATACGAAAAGGAAAACGAAGACTGTAAAATTACGCGGGAGAGGAAAGAGACAAGTATCCGCTTGTGCGAGCGAGAACGAAATAAAATCGTTCCCGCAAAAAAAGTCGCAGCGCTGACAAGAGTGTATTTCGTCCCTTTTACGGCCGCGCTCTCCTTGTTCCGCGCTTCTCTCTCACGTTGGACTTGCTCCGCTTCTCCGGCATGGCACACCGCTATTATTTCCGCCTGTACCATCGCGAATCTCTGCTAGCCGCTTTTATTGTCTGGCTCGCGACACACGACAAACCGTTAAAACAATGCCCGGTCTACCCGTATATATAAATCGAACCACCGACCGCCTACTCCGCGGAAAACGCTTCCACGAACGTGTTCCGCGTTAAAAGAAGTGGGTTATTCTTTATCCGATTCAGCCGTTTACTTTTTAAGCGTATATGCTCGTTTGTAATGCTAGCCTACATATCTGGTAGCCATTTAAAGCGTCGCAACGTGTTGCGTGTGATGCGGAGGTTTAAAGAGAGAGAGAAAAAAGAAAAAAGTAGAATCGCAAATGAAAAAGAAAAAGTTTCGGTATGAATCATTCTAGGTTAAGAATTCGAAGATACGTTCAAACCGGTTAGCATTATATATAGAGGTACGTATATTAAAGAATTATAAACAGTCGTTTAGAATAGAAAAAAAGAAAAATATATTCGAGAGTGAGCGCACTGTGAATAGGACAGTGTACGAGAACGACGCGATATAACGTTTACCGTTACTTGGCCCGAACAACACTCGTTACAGCGAGGATGGAACCATCGAATGCTTCGAGTTGTGGTTCTCTGCGTGTTAACTCGCTTTCGGTTCATTGGAAAAATCGAGAGAACAGGCACGGCACTGTCACAGCTGGTAAAGTTGTTTTCTTTCGATCGTGTTTGCAATTATGATGACTAATTGCACTTGTTGTCACGCGTTACAGATTTACATTTATATTCGCAACACACGACACGTGCAAATAAATTTCATTATTCTAATGAAATTCCTAGCACGACCTCGCTTGTAATCAGTTGATATAAGTTTCATTTTTTTTCATATGGAGTGCTTTTAAATCTAGAAATTTGCATGATATTTATATATATTCGTAAGATAACTTCAATTTTCGAAATGTAAATTTGGTAATCGTTATCGAATAGATTTGTTAATGTCTGAATGACATCTGGCGTTATTCACCATATATCTTGCACGTATCGAACAAAAGCATGGTAATTTCGATTCAAACGTTAAGCGTTACGGATACGGTCGGTAAAGTGGAGTGAACCGTTGCTAACTGAGAACATTACCAAATGAGTAACGACAATTCCTGTCGGTAAAATAAATCTGTAGATAGTACAGTTTTCTGTCAAATATCTTAGCACGCACCTGCAATAATACGATATCGATACGAACACCTGATGAATGTTTGTTAACATTCTCGGTGACTCCGACTCGTCGTTATTTATCATATATTTACAATTGTAATCGTACCAGTTCTTTTTTTATGAGATTTTATAATTTAAAACGAATCATTGCGCTCAAGAGTTAGATAGATGAAGCGTTTAAAATTAGCTGACCGATTTGTAGCTCGCGAAAAGAAACTTTCTTTGTTCGTTACGTAAAAAGGCTTATATACTCTGGCTTCGTTTCGATATGTAAACGCTTGTGAAACTAGAAAATATTTAGATTTTAATTTTATCGCTATTTAACTCGATCGATAAAAATTTAACTTTATCTTTATCTCTGCATCCTTTCTAACAAAGATATTATTTCTCAAAACTTTTTAAAAGTTTTAAGTTTTTCTTTTAATTAAAAAAATAAAATATACACTTTATTCGGAATTCAATAATTCAGAAATCACACAATTCTAATAAATCTCGCGTTCTCGTAAATATTTAAGGACCGAATATTGACGAATGATTTATCGCGTATTGAAGCAAGGCATTTATAATCGAGCTTGGCACAAGTCCGTAAGCCAGTTTGGTATTTGCGTGGCATTTATTCTACTGCGTTTTGCTCTCGTCACGAAATACCAGCAAGGCCGGCAGCGAATCCTTACAAACCCTCGCGAAGAATTACCGTATCGTTAACTTATTCGATGAATAAAATCTCCACCTCTTTGTTTATCCAATAAAACTGCTCGCGTATCGAAATACCGCTCTTATTTACGAAAACAAAGATCCTCGTCGAAAATATTGCTTCCCCTTGAATTTCTACTTTCCATCGTGCTTTCCCTCAAAAATTCTATCATCATTGAAACCGCGTTTTACGAAGGCATCGCACGACTCGTCATTGCGACAGAATATTCCGTGAAATTCACGGTGGTCTCGACGATGTACCGGGATTACGGAATCACGATCCCGATTCGTAATCCGGAACGATCACAAGACTCTTCTTATTGAAACATTTGTTAATACAAGAGGAGGGGGGGAGGAAGAGGGGAGCGCAAAAACAAACAAACAAACAAAGAACGAAAAAAAATATCGATTTACCATTTGGTCATGGAAAGGATCGAAGCGACGAGAAAGGAATGGTTACGATAGGTCAGTGACGACAAAGGAGAAGAAAATAAAAAAATATAACGGCCGAACATCCTGAATCGAATCACGTTTCTTCAAAGATAAGACCGTTTGCTTTCTAAACATCGGTGGTTGAAGCAACGTAACCGTAGAAAGACCGATCCTCTGCTACGTTTTCTGCGGTGTTGAAACGTTTTGTCAGGACGAAGTGAATGTCTAGGTAAGAGGACAGACCGAGGCGGAATAGAAGTGGGAGCTTTCGTGCCGCGGTTCGGCTGGAAGCGAACAGCTGGCAAGCTGGCAAGATTGGTAGCACCGTTACCGCGTTCGCTTATTCGATTCCTCCTCGTAGATCAGTCTCCTCGATCGTACATCGTCCCTCTTTTTCTCTTGTCAGGGGTCATTAGTCCTCAGTGGTGTACACATTTTACCTCGTATACGAAACTTTTATCCTTTCTTTTTTTTTTTTTTTCCATGTTATGTAAACCCCGTTTAAATATTCTTGTATATTATCATATACTTGACATATATACTTGACATTCGGACACGTTCACGAAATAAATACTGCCGATTTTTACCCGATAATACTTTTGTTTGGAATCACGTAAATACGTACAACGATAATTATTTTCTTTTACCAATATACAATTTTTCACAACGTGATCGAAAAATTTATCGATTATATATGAAAATTTGGAATCTGTTCTCACACGTAAAAATTTAACAAGAGAATCGAGATCGATTCGATTTATTAACAACGATCGAGAAAAAAAGAAAAAAAATATAATTCGAATCGTAATCGCGGAAACAGGGATTCGTGCTGTGGTGCTCGATCGCACGATTACGTCCCTGTCACTTGTGCTACCTCCACGACCGGCATTACCACTTCTTCTCGCCGAGCCGAAAGTCACCGAGCCGAGGAGGAAGAGTCGCCGCCGCGAGCGGCCAGTACGAAACGACGTGTTTTCCGCGCGCGACACGCGTGTATTTCTCTCTCTTTCTCTCTCTCTCCGATCCCTTGTGGGTCGAAGCGAAGCGAAGCGAAGGGCTTCCCTCGCCTAGTTTGTTACGATCGATCGTGGCGACACGAAGGTCGAGGCGGCTTCAGTTGGAAGGTGGCACTTCACCGCGATGGTGAACCGGATTCGCGACCACGTTGGCCCTATCGTCAAACTCGATGTAGTTTTTCCATTGTGATCGCTGATCCAATCACCGATCGGTGGAAATATCGCGATACAAATATTCTCGATGGTGGATCTCGGTGGTGTATATACGGATGATAGCTTCGTTCTCGTTTCCGTGTATTTTCGTCAGATTTTCGATAATGATATTGTTTTTGCATGGCTGCGAAAAATTTGCGGTAAGAGGACAGGTGTAAAGGCGTAAATTCCACGTAAGATTCCAAAGGTTTGATATCTCTTTGAAGACAATCTTACCACGATTATCAATCTATTTCGATAAATTCAGATATCGCCAATCGGTTCCGTTATCGATCAAAGCGTAACAAAAAAAAAAAAAAGAAAGAAACAAAAACAAATTAATCCGTCGATCGAAAAAAGTACGAGATCGAAGAAAATTATAGGGAAATTTTGTTAGCGAATTCAAATTCGAAACCTCGACCTCCTCAATCCCATCTCCCACGAATCGAATCACGAATGTACCGCCGTTTCCTATCCAATGTTTCAATGGCCGTTTTAGAAAGCGGAATAGGTAATTCGGGATAGAGACAATTCGCGATTGTATTCCGAGTGTTATCCGGGCGTAGTCGAACGTTGCATCCCGCGTGCAGGAGGCAGGAGCCAAGTAGAGAGGGGTGCAACGCGTTTGGCAATCAGAGCGCATCGATCGGTTAATTCCAGAGCCGGATAAACGACTCTCGGTGTCGGTACGAGCCGACGATGGAAATTAGCATGCCTCCACGACCACATTCGTCGTTACTTCCTTTTCCTTCGCTTCAGTAAACGTACGCGCTCGATGGAACGAGCCGCAGCGCTGCCTCTCTTCCTTCTTTTTTTTTTTTTTTTTTTTTTTTTTTATTTTGTAACAGTAGGTACGCGAGTTCTTTTCTTTTCTCTCTCTCTTCCTCTTCCTTCCCCCTCTCTCTGTTTGAGCGAACGTTTCGTATCATTCCGTGTCATCTCGTTTTTCGATTTTTCGACGAGGAAGACAATCGTGATCGAGGATGGTAATAGAGGGATCTCGCGATTTCGTTATTTTTGTCGGGTTAACCTCGGTCGGTTATGTGGAAGGAGAACAAGCGACGTTCGATCATCATAGGCGAAACGATCGTTTTAACCGTGTCGTTGACTTCACGGTGTATACTCGAGCTCCACTCGCCTCGTCCAGTCGCAATTTAAATATTTATAAGAACGAGAAACACGGATTCGCTTTACGGGTCGTTCGTACGGAACGATATGTTCGTTTCAATATTCTTCGCCGCGATATCTTTGAAATCGCCAAAAAAAAAAAAAAAAAAAAAGAAAACGTAAGAGTTCGACCGAGTGGAATTATACATTCGTTACGCGTAAAAGAGAAGTTTGAAAAGAGAATGTTATCGATCATCGTGAATAGAAGATTGAAATATTTCGTGAAAGGCTGGATCCGAAGATGTAATAGACGAATTGAAAATGTGAAAGGTGTTAGGGTGTCGGGAAGCGAAGAAATAGGTTAGTATCTCGTTAACGAACGATGGAGACAGGAGAAAGAAATTCGTGGCTGTTTCGCCGAATTGCAAAAAAACTGTTTTCCTTCTGCGCGTTGAAAGTGACTTTGTACGTACGTTTCGCTGGACTTCTCGCGTCTAGCGAAAAACGAGACGACCACCGTTCAGGCAACAGACTGAAATATAAAACTGGTTGTACGATTTTTCGTCGCGTATCTCACGTTACCCGTTGCGTCGATCCTCGTCGATCGATCTTTCCATTCTTTTCGTTTCGATTCACTTTCCCGTGACGCGCCACGGATACCTATTCAACGAGATCACGCGATTAAATTGCTCGAAAGAAATTCGAAAAAAAGCGATAACGAATTTTTCCATCGATAATCGGACGAAAATAAATCATTTCTTTGACGCGTTCGATCGCGATCGATTTATCGTATGCATTTACGATAAATGGAAATTTTTACGATAAATTACATTATTATCGATACATGTACAGTATCGCGCGTGAAATCGATCGTTAACGTCCGTACTTACTTTTAATACCCTTCTCGCGTCTGAAACGATATATATTTACGAAATAATTGTTCTTGATACATATATTCGTTTTAATCGAGCGTTTTAATCGAATAAATGTCGCTTTCTTTCCATAATACGTGGAGCAGCTCGACATTGAAGAAATCGTTGTCTCAAAGAGAATTTGAGAGGACTTTTCGAAAAGAGAAAAAAAAAGTTAGGGAAAATTATTCGAACTTCTCTTTCCCTCGCCAATCAAAAATTTCTCATTCGCGTCTCGCGATTCCATTCGGGAATCGAAGTTGAAAAGAAAAACTTGAATTTATTTTCTTCGCCGCCAGATCAAAGATTCTTGCGGTCTTGGTAATTGATCTTCGCCTCTTTCCCTTACTCAAAGATTTCTGCGGTAAAGAAAATTAAATTCCAAGTTCGAAGACGATTAGAAGGGAAGAAGTTCGCTTCGATCGAAGCCTCGGTCGCGTTGAAGAAGGAAAACGAAAGAAGAGAAAGAGGGGAGATTGAAAAAGAAAAAGAGAAAAGACAGAGTCCGGCGCGCAATTAGCCAGTCGGTGTGACGAAACCGCTTCTCGGCTCGGCTCGGCTCGGCCTCGTGAGAACTAGGCGAGCCTTAAATCGTATTCCGCGCGCGTGTCACTACACGCCGGGCGAGTTCTCTTTCGCTCGAAACGAGTTCTTGAGGACGCGCTCGCGGCGTGACGGAGGTCGCGAGAAGAAAGGGAAGAAAACCACCGGTGCAACCGGTAATCGCTCGCGGATAAGTGCCGGTTGCTCCTCCATTCGACCCGCTTGTCCTCTCAAATCACGCACCTTCGTAATTACAGTTTTCGACCTGTTCCTCTCTCTCTCTCTTTCTCCATTCTCCGCGCTCGTTTTTTCTATTTCGAACAAGGCTCGCATTATCTTTGCGACATCTTCCCCGTATATTTCCTTAATAAAACACCGATACTCGCGGATTATTAATCGCTGGATACTGATATATCAGCTTATAAGATAAATTGTTATTTTCTCTGCTATAATGATAGATAGAAAAATTTTCTAAGAAGAAAAGAAAGGAAGGTGGTTTCGTAACGTGGTGAATAACGATACAAAGTGTGCGATCGAAACGGTTTATCTATCGGTTCTCCACGCGATTGCAACGTAATTTCGTAGAGCGTAGAAACGAACGCAGGTGAAACCATCCAACGTCCACGTTCCCGATTCGTCGCGGTATGATGCATTTTCACGCGAGCCGCGGATCATTTTCGTGCCCTCCCCTCCCCTCCCCTCTTTTTCTTCGCCTCGTTTACTCTCTTTCCGCGTATTTTTTTTTTTTCCTCCTCGCTCTCCCTTCTCTTCCCTCTTGCATGTCGCTCGACAATGGCACGGAAACGCGAGCGTGTCGCGTCGCGTCGCATCGTGTCGTGTCGTATCGTGTCGTGTCATGTCGTGTCGTGCCACATTCCCAACATCCTGTTAACGATGATGCGAGAGCGAGCTTCGTGAAAATTCACGATCGACCACGGATCTTCCTCGTTGATTCCTCTTAACAATAAAATCGACTACACCGTCGCACCGTCGCGCGTTTCTTGTATATACAAACAAAATTCCTGTTGAAAAAAAAGTTGATTCACCCCGATGGAAAGCGAACGAATTGCAACGCGTGACTCGCGTTGGCTAATGAAACGAAACGACGACCGCAATTAAGAGGATCATGAAGGGAGAGAGAGAGAGAAAGAAAGAAGAATTATTTTCAACGTCGAGAGAAGAACCCTTCGATTTCTTCGATTTCTGATTTTCTCCTTTTTTTCCATCCAACTTCTTCCCTCGAATTTCCAAAAAACTTTCCAAATCGTCGAGGAACGGACGTGTTTTAAGCGCGGCTAGGGAATTTTCTTTTTCTCGCGCGAGCAAAAGTAACGGTGGCGGTGAGGGAGGGGGGACGAAGCGAGAATGATGGGACGATAAGATATGCGCGGGCATTGGATGGAAGAAGGCGGAGGACCGCAAGAGATCGATTCCGAGACCCGATCTCTGGTGATCCCCGCGCGAGAGGAGAGATGTGGAGCGCCGATACGAACCGTGAGCCGATCTAATCTCGCGGCTGGCCGCCGTTATCGTCAGTCCCGCGTCAACGGCCGACGGTGCTCGTAACGCGTTCGTCCCTCGTTCGTGCCGGTAATTGCACGATCGAAATCGCGAGAAATTGTCGGGCCGAAACGCGCACTGTTGCGACGTTTCCACGGTGCTCGAGCCGTGTGATAAATAAAGTACGCGGTTTGATCGATAATCGCCATGGAGACGGGCCATAAAACCTGGACGACTCGACTTGTTCGAGCCTCGAAATTAGTCGCGACGCGAGTTCGACAAATCTGAAGTTGTTCGTTATTCGAATACCTCTTGTTGTGCGGGGAGAAGAGTTTCTTTGTTCTTTTTTTTTTTTTTTTTTTTGTTTGCAGGATAATATTGTTGATCCGTTAAGGAAGGAAAAAGGTAGTAGCCTCGATCGATCCCAATTAGGGAAATACGAAAAACTAGACTGCGTTGATTCATCGACGCAAAAGAAGGTAACGTTGTTATCGACAATTTTTTCGTTCGAGAGTTTTAAAGTTTCTCCAAGCCGTGGCGGATGTCGAAGCGCGTTGTCCGGCTCGCGTTTTATTAAACGCGATTGCGCAACGCCGTCCGAGTTTTCTTTCGCCACGGTGTGCCCCGACGTCACTTTCTCTTCTCTCGTGGAAAATTATTACGTTCCGCAATTTCCGCCGGACCCGGCGGCGCGCCAACCAACGCGCGTATCCGGTTGGAATGCAAACGGACGGATCGTGCAGGTGGTAGAGGTGTGACCGAGCGCTGTGAAACACCGCCGATTTTGCAATAACAAACGATCGAACGTGTTGCTGCCGTTCGAAACGTAGTTCCAAGCGTGGCTTGAAAATTCCGCCGATCTTCTATTCGCTCGCTTCTTCAAACCCCAAGTGTTCGAAGATATTTCGATTCGTCGAAATTTTAAGCGGATTCGAAAATTATTTATTGGGAACGAATTGTACAGGAGGCTAAATATATAAGGAACTTTTTTGTTCAAGGTTTTTGAAAAATATAGATAATTTTTAATTCGATACAAATCGATAGAAAATTATCATACGTGTAAAGAAATGTGGAGTTAATTTTATTTCGTTGAAAACTTGTTCGATCCGATTTTCTCGCGTTAAAAAAATATTCTCTTATCGATGATTCGTTCGCATCCAATAGAAACGAAACGTTCTAGTTTACATTTTTTTCTTGTTTTTTTTCGCACATTGAGAGTCACCACTCAACCTGTACATTCCTAATATATTAAAATCGATTAAATTGAACGAAAGGAAAACTCTCTCGCGAAGGAGTCTTTTTTTTCGCAGCGATAGAAGCGTTCGCGTCTCTCGATCCGCGAAGAGGTGTTGGGTAAACACCGTGGGCGCCCGACGTGGGCACGTCTTTGGCCTGGATTTTGCCTAGGAAACTTACCTCGATCGATGATTCTAATCCAATAACCGAGACTAGTTAAAAAAAAAAAGACGCAGCCATTTCCAAAGGTTACGCCATTCTTCCCAACAGAACGAAACTACGGGTCTCACTACGATAGGATAAATCGCCTTTCTAACAGCGCGAAAGAATAACTTTGATAGCGATAATTTTCGGTCGAAAATGGTGCGGCGGATAGAGAAGGTCGCGTGGGAAAACACGGGTCCCCGAGGCGAACCGAGGGAAAAGGAGGACGAGACGAGGCGGTCGTGAAATCTTGAGAAAAGTAATACGCGAAAACTAGGTGGTAGTGGTAGTAGTTGGCTCGTTAAACGCAATTAGGAACGAGGGCGCGATTGTTCTGCCATCTACGGTCGAAGGATTCGCGCATTCTCAATGGCCGAAAGGAGAAGTGTATCCTCGAATCGTTTTCGTTCAAAGGATCATCGTCCACGATATACATACATATATATACACAAATAGATCGTTCGCCTCTCTTGTTTTCTTCTCGAGATCTCGAAGGAAGGAAGGAAAACGAACGAATATTCCGTGGAAATATTGCAGAGACTTTTCCAACTTTTCTCGGGGATCCGATGTGAAGAAATTGTTAAGAGTTAGAGAAGGAGAGAGAATCGTGGAGAGGAAGAGAGAAGATGGTGGTGTCCCGCCGGGAGGGTAGCATATCGTCCAACATACGGGCGATAATCGAGCAGCTGAACCTGAATCCGGTGGAGAGGAGGCGGTTGATCGACCGGACGAAGCAGGACGGCGCGCGATGCGTGGTGGGGTATCACCAGGGCGTGCAGCCCGCGGCGAAGATCAGCATCGGCGTGTACGGGTGCAAGGAGAAGGTCGGTTACGAGATACCGGGCGGCGGCCCGATCAGGCGCGCTGTGTGCAGGCTCGGGCCGGATCGGTCGAGGCCCAGGCAGGAAGCGGGGCAGCGAAAGATCTTAGCCCCGATTAAGAAAGAGGGTGCGGCCCGCGAGGATGCGGCGGTCGAGGAGGTAATCGATCTCGAAGGGAGAAACTTAACCTCGATTCGGACGGACAGACGTGTCGCGTCGCGCCGTTTCTTCTTCTTCTCTTTATGTTTTCGCGGATCCGTTCAGCTGGAAGCTCGTTTTTCTTTTCTTTTCGATACGTTAAGTTTTATATTATCTATTGATCTATCTATCTATGAGTCATTATTAAAATAATTTCGAGTTCTCGATAAGAAGCGTTCTGTTCTTGTTATATAACGGAAAGTAGTGATACGTTTAAAAAGAGAATCGAGGTGAGAATAGAACAAATAATCCTCTTTCTGGAGAGGATTAAAAACTTGATCTCTTTATCTCTGTGTCTTTCAATTTGTGGCTACTTATGATGATCTCGAGAATATTAATCCGTTGTAAAAAGTAAAAATTTCGAGAGCAAAGTTACTTCAATTAATTATCTATTGAAATAACGTTTATTCTTATCACAATCCTCTTTTCATATATATATATATATCTCGGTCATTAACTATTAAATTTTGCAAGCGAAACGACAGAGGAGAAACGAGGAATCTCTACTAGCCAGAACGCTCTACTAGCAACGTTATCGTTCCCTTTCCACTCGATATCGTTTATTATTTGTTTTCCGACCGATTACGCGATCGATCTTACTTTCCTTACTCCGTGGCCGAATTCGACGAGCTTCGAGATAGAAAATATACGGATCGGCGAACTAAAAAATTCCAATTGCTTGGTAATAAAGCGTCAGTGAATCTGATTAAATCTGCAAGGAGAAGGCGGAGGATAATGGGTTCGGATCGATAAGATCGATGAGCAAAGTCGAGGATCGACCGAGACCGAAATCGGAGAACGGGCGGACGGCGACGATCCCTCGGGCGAACCGAGAGCGATCGGTTCGAGCTGAAGATACGATCGAGGTAATCGATCAAGATCCTCCCCCCTCCCCCTCATTCTCACCTTACTCACCGCTTAAACGCTAACGTCACCGATTACACGAATTATGTTATGTTGGACACGTTGTGCGTACGTACAATGTGTAGGATAAAGGATCGGCGAGATGTTCGTGCTCGAGGATCGAGGATCGGCCACGCTCGAAGCCGGAGACGAGGCAGAGGATCCCGCCGTTGATCAAAGACGCGATCCCACGAATCGAGGAGGAGGTGATCGAGGTAATCGATAATCGCGTGTAAACGGTTCCTTTTTTCCTCCCCCCCCCCCCTTTCTATATCGAGTAACGATCGCTTTCGATCACGGTTGAACTGTGCCACCTGTAATGCCAGACTACTCGGTTAAGAAAGAGAGATTCGAGTAGTAAAGATCGGGATGGGTTTGTTGTATCGAGCTTTGTTTACCAAACGGTTCGAACACAAACGTATTACGCGAACACGCAAGGAAGAAGAAGGAAAGCTTTCCTCGTTGGGCAGAGGAAGAAAAGAAACGCGTTTCGAGACGGCACCTGTAACCAACCGGTTTCCAACGATCACGGTTAAGTGGCCTGCACTTGCTCGCCCCGATAGTGGTTAATACCGTTATAATACCGGCTGCCAATACACTGGACTCGAACAGCGTCGCACACAGCGGAGCGTGCAAAGTGTCACGAATAATAATATTCCACTCGTAATTCCATTTCTTCTTTCTCTTCTCCTCTTTTTCTTCCTCGATCGTTGGCGTCTAACACTAATTTATAAATCGACGAATTATCAACCCGTTCCATTCCAGGGCTCAAAATCGCCGAAGGACACGGTCGATCGTGTTATCCCTGTGGCCAAAGAGGATTTGCGTGAGTAAAAAGAGATTCTTTAACAGCTTAAATCAAAGAAACGAAGACCTTCTTATTCGAAAGACCGATTCTTGTTTGTCCAAACAGCGGAGCTGGAAAGCGCCAGTTTGAGCCACACCGCGGCCCATCATCGAATTTCAGTCCGGCCTAAAAACCGAAGGCCTCCGAGGCGGAGCGGGTCGCAAGTGGCGGCCACGCCCACGTCGACCATCACGACGATAGCGGAGGACTCGTTGGACAGTCTGCAAAGCGCGAACAACAGCAATGCGTCGACGCCGACGGAGTCGAAGAACCCGTCGATCGGGAGGAAATCGTCGAACCGTTTGTCGCGCACGTCCGACATTTTCGAGGAGTTGGAAGCGAAGCTGCCTAGAAAGCCGCCGAGCGTGGCCTCCTTGTCCCCGGACAGTCTGGACGCGGTGGAGATGAACGACGAGCAGCAAACAGCGGATATCCGTGGATCGATCGCGAGGAAATCGTCGAATCGCACGCCAAAGAATACAGAGATGTTCGAGGAGTTGGAGTCTAAGCTGCCCAGAAGGAGATCCGCCTCGAACAGATCGTCGAAATCGCCGGACAGCTTGGAGTCGGCCAACGGTTGGTTCTCCAAGTCGACGGAGGGCTTCGAGAAATTGATGGAATACGAGGAGGTGAAACCCGTTACGCGAAGATTGCTCGGCCCGATCTCGAAATCGACCGACCGGGTGTCCAAGTCGTCCGACAGTTTGGAAGCCATAGAGGCGTTGACCAGCGACGAGTCGATCGAGCGTAGAAGGAGCAGCTTCGAGTTGCGCGCCCGTAGATCCTCGAAGAAGATGTCGAAATCGTCGGAAAGCTTCGAGATGTTGGAGCAGATCGGAACGGAGAGCGGTGTTGAAGAGATGATGCTTCAGAAGAGGAGCAGCATCTCGGATATCAATTTGTCAAGGGGAAGAAGGTTGTCGAAGAGCATCTCGAAATCGTCGGAGGATTTCGAGAGAATCGAGACAAGCGAGTCGAGAGAGGAGGATGCGAGGGAAAGTTTGGGCAAATGTTGCAGAAGATCGTCGAAACGGATGTCGTCCGAGAGCTCTGATAATTTGGAGTCGGAGGACAGATTGGAGAACAGAAGGATGAGAAGGGCGCCGAAGAGGATACCTAGCACCAGCTACGTGGACATAGTTCCGATGGACGATCAGGAGGAGGAGAAGAGAGCGGTCACGGTGCAAAGGAAACCGTGCAGACTTCAGAAATCGTCCGAGAGTTCGGAGCTTGGCAGCACGGATACTTTAGATTCCGAGAGGAGGAACAAATCGTCCGAGAGTACCGAAACTTTGGACAGTTTGGAGAGAGATTTGGATCAGGATAGGAAACAGGAAGATCTTACGGACACCGTTGCGGATAGACGCGAGAAGAACGTAAGATTTTTCGATAAATAAATTTTCAAATTCAATTTTCAAATTCAATTCTAATTTCCTTTCTTTCTTTTTTTTTTGAAACGTTCGAGACGTAAAATTTGTTTCCGTTTTCAGGATCCTTGGACCAATAAATCCCTAATGATGTCACATTCGGATCAAATGGCGGATAGTACAGAAGACTCTAAACCGTTGATCTCGCCTGATAAATTCTATTGGCGACAATCATCGGAATCGAAGGAGAACATCGACATACATCAGCTGCTAGCCATCACTATAGTTACCAGAATGGCCGACAACGGCAACAATCAACGAAGCTCTGTGATTTATCCTAAGAAAAAGCAACAAATCACCACGTCGCAGCCTACCTCGCCAGTCGCTAAACAAGAAGACAACAAGATGATTTTTGACAATCTCCTCGTTAGCAAGAATGACGAGGATTTACAAAATATGTTAAACGGTAATATATCCGAAGTGTCTACGGATACGAAGAGTTTCAAGGAGAAGCTAATCATGTTCGAGAAACTCGGAAAATAAGCGTTACACGCATTCACACGTATTAACAGATATGCATCGTTTGATTCATTTTGGAAGACGAATAGGAAAAGAATCGATGCGGTTAAAAAATGATCAGAATTATATAAAGCCCCCTTTTTCTGTAAACTTTTTTATATCTGGATTTTATTTGTAGACTGAATAAGCTGTGGAAATAATGAAATAACGAACGAAGATGTGTTCGACTGGTTAAGACTATATAAGATGGACAATAATATAAAAATTATTCACCTTAAATTTTTATAACGTTTTTCATAAAACATGTCTTCGTTTCAAACTTGTAAACTTGAACAAAAGTAAAGGAAAGAAGCAAGTGGAAAATGATATGGAATCGAGATATGTAAAAAGAAAAAAAAAAAAAAAAAAAAAAAAAAAATATTAAGTTCGCCTGTGGCGAGAAAGTTGTAAGGTTAACGTGTTTAAACGTAATTAGCTGTAATTATTTGCGATTCGTGTGTTATTTAACTTCTTCCGTTGCAATCGTATTTTGTTTTTTCTTCTTTTCTTAACAAACTTCACATACACGATAAGATAGTCGATCATACAAAAAAATGCAGTATTAGGTGGTGCGCGATATCGCAGAGCAATATAATCGCGCGTCGTGCTTACAAATTCTTCTCGTGTTAGGAGTTAGTGTTTCTTGTTGTACAGTAGTTTAGAGACGCCAATAAATGTCGTGTTTCGTTCCACTGTGTAAATACAAAGAAGAAAACCCCGTTACAGAATTAGACACGATCGCGAAAGAAAGAATACGAATTTAAAGAATATAAAAAAGAGAATAGATAAAAATAGCGTCGACACGTATTTACAAAGTGTTTAATGGCCAGGCGAGCCATAAAACAAACACAGGGTATGTTGTTAGACAAAAACATAGTTCGAAATTATTCATATCTAGAGACGTTATGGTAATCTTTGGAAAATGCTGTCTTTCCATACTGATTTAACAATTTTTAAACGTCGTTAAAAGTAATTCGTTTGAAAAAAAAATCGAAAATATTTCTAGTGTTTATCTTTTTTTTTTATATTTTCAGTACACGATAAATGATTTTAATTTTTGATTATTTATTATTGAAATGATCAAAAATTCCATGTTGAGATGAAAAAAAAAATCATGATTTTTTGCCGTGTACGTTTAAAGAAAAATAATGATTCATCGTAGGGTGAAGAAAAGACGTTAAAGCGTATCGTCTCTATCACGTAACACCGCGTGAAAGACAAGATACTTCTTTCCAGTCTTTTAAGTGCCTTAACGAAAAAGTAAGTATTAGGGAATCGACTGGTTGCAAACATTGTTGGATAAATCAGAAACTCACTTTCCTCTCTCTTGACCACATCCCTTTTTTAGTTTTCTAGCTGATCATAAACGTCTCAAATCCCAAAAAATATGCATAGATTGTTAGATTAATAAAAATATAAATAGAGAATTGAATTAATATGTAAGAATTCTCTAAGAACGAATAAGAATTCGCATAATTAAAAGAAATATATAAATAAATAAATATATATCTATATATACATATATATATATATATATATGTATATATATATATATACATATAATACAGAAAGATCATCCGTTTTAATGTAAATAAAGCTGCCATCGTAATTACAGTTCGACAACAAAATTTTTTTTCTCTTTATTAAACCTGCATTCCAATGCGCCAATCACGTATCCTTAAAAAATTACAAAATACCTCGACACACTAAATACATTATCTATTTTATACGTGGCAATTTATGAATTTTCTTTCAACATTCCTGCATGAATGTATGTATGTCTGTGTATATATAGGTGAGTGTACAAATGAATTTTTCAGTTCAATTTTTTTTTTTTTTTTT